TAGGGCCTAGGCGAGTGAAGCGATCACCTAAGGCCCCCAATCCTACAACGGCCTCATATTTTTCATATATTAGTATATATAATATAGGGGATTTGTAATGGGTAGCATATAAGTTTTCTATATTTAACAAAATAGCATGCATTTTTTATATTTTTAGATATAGGATTTTTTTGAAAATCCTAATTTTAAAATTTTCAGTATTCCCAAATTACCCTTTTTCAGTTATCGCTTCGTTATTATATATTAAACATATATCACATATGTATAAGGAGTAAATCAATAGTATATCAGAAGTCAATCAGTTCTATATCAGTTGTATAATAGTAAATCACTATTTTACCTGCTTTAACCCTTTGTCTTGTATTTTTTTGATCAATTAGAAATTAGTAGGTATTGGCATGCATGGAAGAAAAAAATTTGATACTTACTGAAAATGAGAGAGAAAACTTGAAAGGAACGTGAATGTAAACGTCAATGGTAATTTTCGAAATTACTGTGAATAAAAATTCAATTAGAAATTATAGATAAATAGAAACTTAGGGTTTTTCTGTATATCAATAATATATCAGTGATATATCAAGTATACATCGTACATATAACAATAGTATAATTAAGTTTTATTTAAAGTTTTAAAGATCAAAAGGAAATCAGCAACAATGTCATTCTTAAAAGGTTTAAATATCATTCTTGGGTATCAACAGCAACATCAAATCAGCATCAAAGTCCTTCAACCAAAAACTTAAAGGTTTAAATATCAAAACGAACCAGTAGCATAAACCAAAAGTTGACTAACAATGTCATTCTTAAAATTATATAAAAGAAGAAGCATAAGTTCCAACAGTCTAGAAAAGCGTAAGTTTCATTCTTGTATAATCTTTAGGTAAAAGCTTGGGACATCAATCTTCGTTCTTGGTGATTGTCGTGTCTTCGGAGATAATATCTTTGAAGCTTTCCGTTTTTCTATAGACAATATTTTTGGCATTGGTTTATGTTGTCTTTTAGACGAACGATATCAACATTTTCGACGATGTTTTTTTATTTCATTTTTCGTGTTTGTACCATTGCTTTTATCTGGAAAAAAATATTTCATATACTAGTAGTATATCAGAAAACATATATTAGAGGTAATATGTTCGAAATAATTGGTACATATCATAGTTATATGAGAAGTAAATCAATTTCATATCATATGTATATCAAACATATATCACATATATATCAAGAGTATATCTGTCAATCATAGTTATATCAGAAGTAAATNAATTTCATATCATATGTATATCAAACATATATCACATATATATCAAGAGTATATCTGTCAATCATAGTTATATCAGAAGTAAATCAATAGTATATCAGAAATCAATCAATTCTATATCACCTATAGTAGTAGATATCATAGTTATATCAGAAGCAAATCAATTTCATATCATATGTATATCAAACATATATCACATATACATCAGAAGTATATCTGTCAATCATAGTTATATCATAAGTAAGTCAATAGTATATCAAAAGTCAATCAGTTCTATATCACCTATAGTAGTATATATCATATTTATATCAGAAGTAAATCAATTTCATATGAGATATATATGGAACATATATCACATATGTATCAAGAGTATATCTGTCAATAATAGTTATATCATAAGTAAATCTATATCAGAAGTCAATCAATTCTATGTCACCTATAGTAGTAGATATAATAGTTATATCAGAAATAAATCAATTTCTACCATATGTATATCAAACATATATCACATATATATCAGGAGTATATCTGTCAATCATTAGTATATCAGAAGTCAATCAGAAGTAATTTATTGTTGGTTCGAGCCTGCAAGGTATATTTGTAATTTAGAACGTGGACCTCCGTTTTTTTGCAAAAAAAATGCTATATTTGAAAAACCCAAACCTTATTGCTATTTTGCTTATTTTCCTAACTTTTGTTGCCATATCTCAAGTTGCCCCTATAATATAATGTAATATTGTTATCTATTTATTTTAGTTTTTACTTGGAATATATAATAATATATTTTCCACATTTTGTTCTTATAATATTGAAAATACAAACTAATAATAAATACATTCTCTTGAAAAAAATCGTTAATTAAATATAAAATCCATAATCAATCTGTCATATAAATTTCTCTAGATTTTTATTTTTTATTTTTTGGGAAAGAAATTGGATTAAAGCTCATCAAACTATGAAAAAATGATAAGATGAAAAAAATGACAAAATGGGGCATGAAAACCCCATTACATAGGCAACCAATAGGAAAAAAGTGACTATAATTAGGAGGCTCTTCACAAATACATAAACCTAAGGCAAGAAACACTAACTAGCAATTCAATCTGCACAAAAGTTGTTAGATGCTAACCCTCCATTTTCAAAAAAGGAGGTTCTCAATATTTAAAACCATATACAAAAGAACTCTCAATTCTAATTTGACACCTTCAAAATTTGTTACTTTTGTCTTTTTTTTTCATGTTTAAAACCTTTGAAACTTCATTAAAAAACAAAAAAACATTAACATAGCCCTTCCAGACTCTCTTAAATTTTAGATCCTTTGTATTCTCTCCTTTTATTTATTATTTTCACAACTAAAATTTTTCAAATTGTCTTAAGAAAAAGATTGTACCATAAATATATTCGGTAGATTATACTAATTTTAACTTAATTGTGTCAATCCAAATTGTTAGAATAGAAACCAAAGCTCCAAAGTTTATTATTTTAAGTTTTTTTGTTCCATTTCTTTTACTTTTTATGAAAATGTATTTCATATTATTCAATACGTTAATATTTGAGATTGTTTAGGTTGGCTTACTTGTTTCAATATAAAATATTAATATGTCTATAAAAAAATATGAATATGGATATATGAAAAGCTTAAGATAAAACATAAAATATAAAAACTTATTGAATCTAAAAAATGTGCTAAAAAATGGATTGAATATGAAACAATGTTATCAATAAAATTTTTTTTAGTAGAAGCAAAAGTAACAAAAATGATAAAATAATAGAAGAAATAATAGGTATAGATAAATCAAAACATAAACAAAAATGACATATAATGATATTTTTGAAAATGAAGCATCGAATCAAATAAAGTTCAAGTTAAAAAATAGTCATATTAAGGCATCTCTTTTAAAATTTTGCCTAAAGCCACATATCATGTCGAAACGTCCTTGGTTGAGCCTACAACACCTTCCTCTACTGCTAAGTAGAGGATAAACTTATCACCGGATAGTGGTTTCGAGAGTTACAAAGCCGAGCTTAAATAAGTCTTCAGCTACTCTGAGGCATTCTGATAATCTAAAGACCACTCAAATTTGTCCTTTTTTTTCCGTAGAACTTTGAAGAAGGATAAGCACTTATCCATGGATTGGATACAAAATGGTTGACAGCAGCAAATAGTTCGAGAGATTCAGTGAAAGTGATATCGAGAGGAAGCCGTGAAATGAGAGCAAGAGTGATTGCAAACAAAGTCATGAAAAGAGAGCGAGAGTCTGCTGTCAAAACGAGAGCAAAGCACAAATTAATTTAAAAAGTAATCAAATTCAATAATGAGATCGAGATTAGAGCAAGCGAGATCGAGAGTAAGTCGTGTAACAAGAACGAAAGTCTACACAAAGGAGCCATGAAACACGAGCGAGAGCGAGGTTGAGTACAAGCGAGAACAAGAATAAGGGGCTAAGATGCATATATTTTCAATGCGGTTATGAAGGTAATTTCGTGTGCTTGCTAACACACACACAATGTTAGAAAAACTTATTTGTGAGAAAGCAGGTTAGAAATTATTATTAATCTCTACGATATTTTAAAAGAAAATAAGCACAATATATAATATTTAAATATCTATTTTGGTCTAAGTACTTTTAGCTTTGATAAACCTCTATTTTAGTCCTTGTACTTTTAGTTTTGGTCCATAACGTCAATTTTGGGTTCTGTAATTTTTAAAAGTGGTCGTAGTTGTCCTTTCATTTTCTTTTTATCTCAATTTTGTATCACAGTATTAACATGACACTTCATCACTTGAAATATAATCATAAATTTATATTAAATAGTTTCCATTGTGTTTAAATTTGTGCTAAATTTTTACAAAACAAAGACTAAAATTGTCACTTTCTAAAAGTACGGAATCAAAATTGATATTTTGAAAGTACATGGACTAACCAAACATAATTTTAACGTGTGTTCTTGTCATTTTGTCATCAGTTATTTAACAAATATAAATATGTTTGTGTGAGCATCTGTTAAATGTCACCTAAGTTTCAAACATGACACAATTGTTGCTTAGAAATGAAGGTTTTTATTGCATTAATTAAGATTTATTCTACGACCCAAAAAACAAAAAAGTGAGAAAACAAAGGGAACGTGTGAGACAGTTGCAAAAAAAGGGACTTATTACTTTTCTAGGCATAATTTGTGCAGCAAAATAATAATAATAATAATAATAATAATAATAATAATAATAATAATAAAAAGAGTTATATAAAGGTTGGATTTTGTTCTAATATCTCATCCATGTGATACTATATATTTCTTTCGATATTTCAACCTCGAACTTCAAAAGAAATAGTAGATATTTTTATCTCTCAGCTATATTCATTTTGATGGCAATAGATGTTCATGTTAGCTAAACTAATGTAATTTTAATATACATGCCTATATGTTAACTCAAAAATATATATATATATATATATACATGCCTATATCACAATGGTAATACACATCTTTTTCTTATCTTTTTTGAAGGAAGAAAAAAACTTTATTAGAAAAAGGCATCTTGGGCTACCGATGGTAATACACATCTTTAAAGTCATATTATATTATTCATCTTTTAAATAAATAATAATTAATGATGCACGAATTTAAATAAATATCTTTTTAATTAAGGACTTTTTTTTTTGGAAACAGAACAACAAAAAAGGAATTAAACAAAATCAATAGCCAACAAATCAAAACGCCACATAGGGCAAAACAAGTTCCACGAAGATGAAAAGCCCTCTTCGCACGTGTTCCTCGCTATTCCATGAGCAACTCTATTAGCTTTCCTCGAGATATCCATGAATCCTTCAATTGGCAAGGAATCCATCTCCTTCCATACGTCTTCAACAAGCAGAGAAAGTTCAGTGAGCTCCAAAGTCGATTTATTGATGATGTTCACAACTTCCAGACAATCTGATTCCACCTTTATTTAAATTCCAGCTTCAAGGGTAAGAGAATGGTTCATTGCTTTGAGACCTTCTAAGATTGCTAGGGCTTCCAAAGCTTTGATGAGTCATTTCCTTTGTAGGTGGAGACACCCTACCATGATGAAACGACCTTCAGAATCACAAACTACCCATTTGAGTCCACTGGCATGCAGCGAATCCATCCAAGTAGCATCATAATTTAGTTCCCACTGGTTCTGCGTCGGGGGAGTCCAGCCGATGGGCCTGGGAGTTCCTTGTTCTCCATGTTCAGGTTCTTTCCAAGATTCTTTGTAAACTCATTTATTTTCCTTTCAATAAGGATCTTAATTTTCTGAGGGCTAGACGGCTCATTTGTACATTGTACTATTTGATTTCTGTACATCCAAATACTTTATAGAAGAATTAGCCCTGATTGTCTTTTGTACTGGTCTGAATCTCTCCAAATCCAGTTGAAATAGTCCAAAGCCATCCTGATCTGTCAACATTAAATGAGCCAACATTAAAATCAAGAAAAATAGCCCAAAGATCTCAAACAAACTTGCACTTCCAAAACAAATGAGTAATTGTCTCTTCTTTCTCACAACATAGAGGCCACCTCTTTTTGGTTATGATTCATTTAGGATTGAGATTATCAAAGGTTGGAATGATATCTTGTATAATCTTCCAACAACAAAGTAAAATCTTGGGAGGGACTTGAACTTTCCAAAACCTCTTCCACCACCTACTCATCGAGGCCGTATTTGAGGACGAAGCTAAATCAGATTCATGAACGTTGATCCCCAGTCTGTAGGCACTTTTCACTATAAAAATCCCTTTCTTGTCGAAACCCCATATGATATCGTCACTAGATTCGTTCCTGCTAAAGGAGTATTAATGATTCAATCAGCTTCATCATCCTGAAAGCAATTCCTAATGACTTCTTCGTTCCACATCCCTAGCTCCCTTATTAGAGAAGCCACGTTTAGATTATAGAAAGAGCTATGCACATAAGTAGGCTTAAAGTTTCCTAATCTTGTGAGCCAAGGTCAATCTGCTATATTCACATCAAGTCCCAAACCAATTCTCCACCAATAGTCTTTTCTGAAAAGATCACGACCCCGAAGAATACTTTGCCAAACAAAAGAGGGATTGTTCCCCAACAATTTAGCTTTGATGAAGCTTTCATTAGGGAAATATCCACTCTTTAGAACGCGAGCAACCAGATTGAGAGGATTCCTTAGCAGTTTCTAGCTTTGCTTAGCTAACATGGCTTGATTAAAGATACTAATGTCTCTAAAGCCCAACCCTCCTTGATCTTTCGGGATACACAGCCTTTTCCAGTTATGCCAATGGATCTTCCTTTCCATTTCCGTTGCTCCCCACAGAACCTAGCACACATAGAATTTATATCAATACAGAGGTTAAAAGGGAGTTTAAAACAACTCATACTGAAAGTTGGAATTGTTAAAGCTACAACTTTAATGAGAACTTCCCTCATTCCGATCGAAAACAATTTCCCTTTCCAGTCTTGAAGTGCTCTCCATACTCTGTCTTTAATATTAACGAACACCTGCCTCTTATTTTGCCTTGTTGGGAAGGGAGACCCAAATATTGACCCAGGGTCACAGTATGATTTACCAACAACTATTGCTTTATCATCCGTACCATTTGCTCCTTGATATTTTTGCTCACAATGAACATCGATTTGTCAAGATTAATACATTGTCCATATGATTTTTCATAAGATTCCAGAATCCCTTTAATGCTCCTGCAATTACCTGTAGAAGCTTTGAAAAACAACAGACAGTTATCAGCATAAAATAAATGTGAAATGGATGGGCATCGCCTATTAATTTTCAAACCTGTGATGTTCATTTTCTTTTCCTCCCCTTTGATAATTGCAGGGAGCCCTTCCACGCAAATAATAAAAAGTAAGGAGAAAGCGGGCCTCCTTGTCTAAGGCCTCGGTTAGGTATGAATTCACCACCCGACACCTCATTTATCAAAATTGCAAACCGAACAGACTCCACACATTTCATAATCAGCTCCACCATCTACTCGTAAATCCCATCTTTTCCATGATACCTCTAATATATGGCCATTCCACTCTATTGTTGGCCTTGCTCATGTCCAACTTCATTGCCACTTCACCCATCTTGCCATAACGCTTATTTTTAATAGCATGGATACACTCGAAGCCAGTGATCGCGTTGTCTGTCCTTCCTGGCACAAAGGCTGATTGGGTAGGGGAAATCACACTATCAAGAACTCTTTTAAGCCTGTTAGCCAAGGCCTTGGCAATCAGCTTATACACTACATTGCAAAGGCTGATTGGACGAAAGTCTTTCATTTCCTGCGCCTCTTTCTTCTTTGGAATTAGGACTATATGAGTCTGATTGATTTTACCTAAAGGCTTATTATGATTCCGAATTTTTAAACAGATATCTATCGTATCATTGCCAACCACATTCCAAAATTTCTAAAATAACATAGCTTGTACCCAATCTAGACCAGGAGCCTTAGAAGGGTGCATTCCTTTTAGGGCCACTTCGATTTACTTTCTCATAAACTCCTTGAATAGCATGAAATTTTAACTATCACTGATACTCTTATGCACACACTGAAGAACGGTATCACAATCTGACCCTGTAGGCCCAGAATAAGAGAAAAGAGCTTTAAAATAGGCAGCTGCAACATCTTTAATATCTTCTCTTCTGTCTTTCCAAACTCTGTGATCATAAAAAATTCCTTCAATTCGATTTGTTTTCCGCCACTGATCGGCTCTGATATGGAACCATTTAGTGTTCTTATCTCCCCATTAAAGCCAATCTTCTCTCGATCTTTGTTTCCAATATACCTCCTCTTTTTTTAGCAGAGCATCAAGGTCTTTCTCGATTTCCAACATCTCCTCTCCCCATCTTGCCCCATCTAGGTTGTGATATCTCTCAAGCTCCTTCTCCTTAGTAGCAATAGCCCATTTAAGAGATCCGTTCAATCTAATTTTATTCCACTCAAAGAGCCGATAGAGGCACGAATGAATTTTTGCTTGAAATACCTGAATTCCAATCCCAAGCACAGAACCCCAAGTCCCTATGATAATGTCCCTACAGCCTTCAATCTGAAGCCAACTCTCCTAAAAATTAATCTAACCCTGCTTACGAAACATTTGAGCACGTGGCAGTCCGAAGTCCCAAGAAGTTAAATGGGTCGGTTGTCCGAGGAGAGCAACTCAAGGTGCGTGACCTTAAGGTTGAAACACTTATTGAGATGCTCTGGTTAATAAGGAACCTATCCAGACGTTCCCAAAATGAGGCAGCTATTGAATTGGTTGTTGCACCAAGTAAAAGGATCACCCACATAACCCGTATCTAGCAGAGCACATGAGTCAATCACAACTCTGAACCCCTACATCCATCTTTTCGGTCGTTTAAACTATCTCATTAAAGACTTACATGAACATTTTAAAATTTTAAAAAATAATTAAAAAATTCATATATCAAAATGAAATTAGATAAAATAATTATATGAATAAATTGGTCCAATAATTTGATCTTAATTTCAATTTGCTCTCTATAATTTTAAAATTTTAAATTTAATTCATATGACATAGACTTAATTTTAATTTTGATTCCTATATTTTAAAAGTACTGATAATTTTGCTCTAGTTTGATTTGGTTAAATCTCGTAGATATCTTTTAGTTTACTTAAAATAATAAAAAATAATAATAAAAAAAGACAATAAGAAGAAATAAAACAAAATAAAATAAAAGGTAAGTGGTAAAAGGATAGGTTTAACTGATCTCTACCACTCTTTTTTTTTTAATCTCTCCCATTTTGTATATCGTGTGCTTAGCGACAGTCATGATTCTGTTACAAACCCTTTAATTTAATCATGGTTAAAATACTAGTTTTGTTTAGGTAATATCAATTTCGGGTCAGTTTAGTCCTTGCACTTTTAAAATGTTTGTTTTCGTTTTTGTACTTTCAGATTTAATTTATTTTAATCTCCGTATTTTCAAATATTTATTTTGGACCCTGTACTTTTAAAACTGACCATTTTGGTCCTTTTATTTTAGTTTGATCCCATTTTTTCTATCACAATTTCAACACGACATTATAATTGTTATAGGTAAAACCCGAGCAGGACATGCGTTCGCTCCTCTACAGGCTGGGGACCACTGACGGTTACCTTCCTAAGGCAAGCATTGTCGACACATGTCTGCCTGGAGGGAACAAGAGACCACAGCCGGTCACGCCCTGTATATAGTTGTCGCTGGGAATGCATGTTATTGGTACGATAAGCACATTCCGTAGACGCGGGCAACATGCCCAGAGCCACAGGTGGTGGTGCTACCTTGCACCTACTGGAAGCATGCTCCCATCGTACAACACGCGAAATCCCTACCACCTCTAACCGTAGTCCTTTCTGGCCAGCCCTTGAGGCTATAAAAGGAGGGACCTTCTTCTTCACCAGGCAAGTGAAAAATCTTTTACTAATACCTCTGATGTCTTATTCTTATTTCTATTCCGTTTACTGACTTGACCATCGAAGTGATTTAGGTTTCCGATTACCGCACCGACGTCGAGTATTTTGGTTTCAAGCAGGATTGCTCATTTGTGTACAAGTGTCCCTCAACCGAAATTCACCGTCAACAGTTGGCGCCGTCTGTGGAGACGACGTTTTCAAGCCAAAAAACAAAAAATAGTTCTTCGCACTAAGACATCATCACGATGGTCCCCGACAAGGAGTTGTCCCACGAAAACACCGTCGACGAGGAGCATTGCGTGACAAGGCAATTGACAAGTCTGCTCCGACTCCTTCTACACCGCAAAAGATGAGGGGGACCAGGGACATTGTCAACACACTTCACCCGATGGGACACCTCGGTAAGAAGAAGGTCAGATATCCCCATCGAAAGAGCTTTGGATTCCATAATGAGATGAGAGCGGCCCACGCCCAGATGACTTCCCTAATGGAAGGCTAATCGAAATCTGGAGTGACCGAGCCCGAGAAACCTTCCCCCTTCCAACAACAAAGTAAAATCTGTCACTAATCACCGAGAGGGTGAAAGGACGTAAATCCCGCAGCGGAAACGACGATCTTTGTTCTTGAAGTTTTAGGAACAAAAAACACACAAAAACAAAGAGAAAAATGCAGGGGAAAGTTTTTCTTTACCTTTGAAGAACCGTTCTTCAAGGAATCACCAACAAACACCACCACCGATCTTCCCGCTATCCTCTAAGAACGATGATCTCGCTTCTGGGAGCTTTGTTTTTGGAAAACAAGAGGGAATTGAGAGAGAGAGCTTGAGAGAATGCCTTGGAATTTCTTGGAATGAATGTTCTGTTTTTGCCGAACACTTTTGCGAAAACTAAAACCATATGACGTGGGGAGTTTCCCCACGTCACATAACTCCCCACTCCCTTGCAGTTTTGTAGGGGAGTTTTATTTTATTTATTATTAATTAGTTAATATTAATAAATATTAATAAATAATAATAATAATTAATATATATATATAATTAATTAATCTGATTGATTGATTAATTGGTTTTAATTAATTAATTATTAATCTAATTAACAATTAATTAATGAATTAAATAAATAAATAAATACATATATATATTAACTAAATAAATAATTAACACTTAATTATTTATTATCAAAATAGAATCACATTCTAAAAGCATTTCGCTGGTATAACCTATAATGGTAATGTACGTCTTAATCACATTATTTTTAACATATAGTTTTAATATAAATCATAATCAGAGTAATTTTATTTGAATCTCGTTCAAATAATTTCTCTCATAATATATAATTTTAATTAGAACTAACTATATATATTATAATGTATAAACATACATATATAATCTCTTGAGCAATTTGAACATTTCACATTTTTCCAAAAAGTTGATCCTCGTTTTACCCGTTGTGAGTGGAGTAGAAAATGCTTACTGCAAGTGTACATGTCAAGTTTTAATAAAAGTGGTAAGTAATTACCGATATCGTCCACTAGATTGGTTTCTAGTCACTCAAGTATTAGAGATAATATTGTCCAATTTTATCTAGAGAAACAACAAGAATTTCTTTTGACAAAAAAAAAACCAAATAACAAAGCGAATAAAAGACTCTAAAGAAAACTTTTATGCAGAATGGGTCCTAGGGAAATGATTTCACCAACTGAACCTACAAGCGGACAAATTAAACATGCCAAGATTGAATATGCAATTAATCTATAAGTTAAGAAATCAAGAATCATAATTGTCTCTCCCGAGTACAATTAATTCTCCCACTTATTAAAAAACCAATATCCCTATCTAGTTTCATTAACAAGCAAAGTCTTAAGTCTTATTCTTTTAACAACCTCTAAAATAATTCTAAGTCTCCCGATGTTAGAACTATCCCAGTCATGCATTCAAGTTCCAATCTAAACCACCTCTCCCGAGCGTAAGATCAAGATTTAGCAACAATTAATCCGTGATCAAGAGATTAAAAGCATTAAGCCAATAAATGCACAAATAGATTAAATACAAATCAATCAAGACAATTGTTAATAACTCCAACTCATAAATCCAACGGCTACATCAATCCCTAGAACAAGAAGATTAGCTACTCATGTTCATGAAAATACAATAAAATCTCACTGAGAATTTCATAATAAATCTAGAAAAGATAAGGGAAAAGAGAGAAACTAAARTCGTAGTGTCGATTGACTGTCCTCGACTTAATCTCCACGATCATGAGCCTTCGGAAATCGTCTCCTTGCCCTCCTTGCTTCAACTCTAGAGCCAAACCTCTCAAACTCCAATTCTCCAATGTGAGAAGGTCCAAAAGTCCTAAAAAATGGCGCACTAATATTTTATTTATGTGAGGGCATCGTTACAATGCCATGGTGCCATTAGTGAGCACCATGGTACTCTCCCAAAATTGTGACGGACGAGCAAGTTCGTAGCGCCATGGTGCTACAAGACAGCACTACGGAGCTGTCATCAAGGAAAGAGGCCCAAGCTTGGTCTGCAGGCACCATGGCACTGTGTACTGGCGCTGTGGCGCTGCTTCTTCATGATTTTGCTCTCAATTCTAACCTGCAAGCACCATGGCGCTACATGATGGTGCTGCGGCACTGATGTGGCTTAATTATCTCCCCTTTTTGCTTTAGTTTTCCTCCCATTTGATCGTTTATGCTCCAATTCTTTCTAATGACTTGATCCTGTAAACACATCAATTATGCACATAAATAAACCATAAATGATCGAACATTGCTAAATAATTCCCACCTGAATGTCATGAAAATGTGGTTCATAAAATGCATTATCAAAATACGCCCAAATTTAGCTTTTTGCTTGTCCTCAAGCAAACAAAACTAGTTAACAACCACTAAATCCAAACAGACAACTGACACCTAAATCACGTTCATCCCTGAACATCTCGTAACTCAACATACTAACTCCCTTTCTTATACCCTTTCAACTTTTTAATCTCCAAAAACACAGGTAAGTCAATCATGCATTCTATGAGATAATTCCAGATGAAAATCAACAGATTAAGTAGTGAACAAAATATTTTGAAAAATAAAAAATCAAGCATCTCGTTGACTTCATGAAATCAAACACAAAAACTTGACACTCTCACAAGAGTTCGCTCAAATCTCTCAAAGTATTTTCAACGTGTTTTAACTCTCAGAATCAGAACAAAGCACATTATTACCATAAGCTTGCAAGTGAATCAATTCTCCCCTCTCAAATATGAATTAAATGCACAAAATCAAATGGACTTTGATAAAGGTTGTAATGGGGCTCAGGTAAAGTGAGGTAATATGAATTTAAGAGGCTCAAAATCAAGAAAAATGAGATATTAGATTGCATGCTAACTACATAACGTACTGAAGCCACAGAACAAAGAATACAATGCACCATCAAACACTAATACTCCTAGAGAAATACAAGAATTTATTGCTCCTTGAAAGATACTTCACCAAATGATTTCTCTACATCGCTCAACAAAGAAGAAATATACCCTTATATACAATTTTCTTGTTTTGTTTTGTTTTGTTTTTTTTTCAACCATACTCATTTTCTTTCTTTCTTTTTTTATACTTTTTTTTTTCTAGCTTACAAAGTTGGCACCAAAACAAATGCAACTTTTCCTCCATTGTCTTGATACTGGTAAAGAAGAAATATGGAGGATGATATTTGAAACAGGCTCGGGGTTAATAAATATGTTCAATCCAAGAAAAAGAATGGAAAATTAGGCTCAAATATGTCTCTCTAAATGAAAATATAAAAGGTAGGATCTTTAGAAGTCTCAAATTGTGCGTAAGGCTAAATTGCCCTTATCATCTTAAGACACCAATTCAAACAAGTGGTTACAAAATGCATTTACCAGCAAGTTGTATAATAAATATGCCAAGTTCGATCACACACAAGAATGAAAATGAGCCAGATGTAATAGATTGCTCTAAGGCTCAAAAGCTCACTGGGTATGTCAATAGTGTCAAGTCAATAGCAATTTTCATTCAATAATCCAACGAGAAACCATCATATAATTTTCAAGAAGGAAAACAAAAACGGTCATACTTATCTCTTTCATGCATAGGAAAGCCACTCAAAGATGCATTTATAACTCACCAAGTATTCAAGGATATTAATCATAATTCAAGGTTTCAAAAGGGAATCAGAATATATGAAATAGAATAAACATATCATCCAAAAATAATTATTACATACCAGATTCAACCACCCCCAAACTTAGATGTTACATTGTCCCAATGTAAAGAAAAAAATGCAATGAAATTAAGAATTACAGTCCGAACAAAATAATGAGGGAGTAGAAGGAAATTGCCCTGAATGATGACGAAGCATCACTGGTCCTCGTCCTTAGTGGATGAATCATGAAATTGTGGAAGTGGAGGAAGAGGCTGCGTTGATTGTTGAGCCAGAAAACATTGAACAAGATAGTCAAATTGCAGCCTCTAATTCACCTGAAAACGATGGAACTGACGTGAAAGATGGCAAACGTCCTCCTCAAGTGGTCGGGGAGCGCCCTGTTGTGGAGGTGGATCGACATGGACTTTTGGTGTTCTTCCGCAGGGCCTTCAATCTCCATAAGGGGCTCCCACCCACGGATARACAAAATGTAATTCTTTTCCATCACTCTTTTGGGACCCAGTAATGTCCCTGTGGGTTCCCAAACAACACCAACATTCTTACAGAGATCGGTTATCAGCATGGGATGGGGAAGGCCACTTGTTATGCTACCGCGTCTGGCATGCTTAATGCTCTGCTTGATAATCCGCCCAACATCGATAAACTTATCGGTAACAATGGCTTATAGCAATATGGCCCGTTCTTTGGTGACGTCGCTCATGTGGGTCACCAGAAGTAACTTTGAACAAATAAAATTATTGCCATACCTTATTGTGAACAGTCAGATCGGCAGATTTGAAGGTAATGGCTTCACCGTGCCTC